GGGGGTTGTAGCCCAAACGGTCTTTTTTACTGTTATGGGGCATACTGCCCTGAATCATAATAGAAATTTATCAATATAGAAACCCTACATTCTACTATATAGGTACACAGGGCAGGCCCTTTGGGTAGGCGTATTTGGTGCAGGATCAAGAGCTTCGGGTTGGGGTTTGCTTGTTTTCAGTTCGGGTTTGGGTTTCGGGGTTTGAGGATTGAGGATTTATGAATTTCAGTGCCATATCTAACGTAATCCAGGCTTGCAGAAAGGAAGTCAGACGCTCAACCCAAAATGGCAGTGCCAGCGCGTAGCCTCGTTCAAGCACACTGCATCTTCGGAATATTTACGAGTTCCTCATCATGGGTTGCTTGAAGGGAATGGCTTTTTTTCAAGGGCTTGTACGACGCCCCATTGGATCTCTTTCAGGGCTTCTATTCTAGTAGTCAGGTCTCGCATAGTTGAACTCAAATTCTGCAACCTTCTACAGCCAAAAGGTCCGGATCCCATACTCCTGGAGACTTTGCAGTGTCTTGCAGTTTGGGGGTTTTAAGTTTTGGCATGAATGTTCATCAAGATTGTTTGTGAAGCGCCCTAGACACTCATGCACTGATGCCCCTGCATGCTAGACCCTGTCCCCAAATCTGAATTCTGCAGGATTTCAGCCTGAGCGAGTTGGAAGGATTGGGTGATGAGTTTCATGGGCGTCTTGGCCGGTGCAGATCTTCAAGGGGATTTGCGCTGCAAGGATTGAGGTGTATACAGGATCAGGACGAAAACCGAGCGGGTGGATTAGAATGTAAGCCAGAAACCAAAAGTCAAAAGTATGCACACACTCGTCCTTTGCTCCATCATCGCGTGGTATAAGGAGTCCTTTAGGGTTACTACACTTAGTTTCGTTTCTGGGGGCCTCATTTGCCTTGGTCCGGAGTAGAAAGCCCATTGGTCTACCTATTGTCTCCATTGCGTTTCCTTTTTGGTGTTACCTTATCGGACCCGAATGTACGGTCAATGGGTTAAACCGCAAGACGGAACTACAATGGAGACTATAGTAGATAGGCAGAGACCTGAACCACAGCAACATAGGGCTCCCTATGGTTACGGTAGAATGCACGCGTTACCCCAAAGCACCCCCCCTATCTTAAGTGGTACGGTGCAGGGTTCCGGAATTTAGGGCCAGTACCTACATGCTAGAACCCGAAACCGAAACCCGAGGCTCCATATCCATCCGTCGGAGCTAGACCTAATCCGTTCAATTTCGTCTTGTCCGTAGCTTTCAGCAGTTTCGTTCCTAAACCCCAATCCTGAGACCCTAAAATGCCCTAAAACCTAACCCCTAAACCCTCAACCCAAAGTGGCAACCTTACGGAGCATGGAGCCCTTCTAGTAATCCGTAAAGAGCCCCAGAGGCCGAAGCCGCTTTTCCACCCGAAACCCTTTTCTCCGAGGTTTAGGGTTTAGGGTTTTAGGGTTTAGGGAACCCGTTTAAGGGGACCTGCCCTGCTCTGCAGGGCCCCCGTACACATTTCGGTTGTTTTTTGTTGTTTTTGGTCTGGGTCTGGCTTTGGGGGTCTGGGGTTTAGGGTATTTAGGGCTCAGGGTTTAGGGTTTAGGGTTCTGGCAGATTTCCAGGGCAAAGCACCAAAAACAACGGGTTGTTTGGGGGCCCAATAAGGGTTTCGCGTTGGCAGATTCTCCAGGCCCAAAAGGCGCGAGGGCGGGATGTTTGGTGGAAAGCATTTGCTCTCGGGCGGCCGGCACAGGCTGCGAGGACCACAAATCGGCACCAACTGATCCATCAAAGCTGTGGTTTGCTATGAAATGTGGTCGAGCTTTGTAGAACTGCGAAAGGAGGCGGAGAGCAAGAACGCCCCCGTTGAGGGGGTTTGGGGGTGAACCCTGAACCCTATAGTTGATAATGCTTGGGGTGGTTGGGGCGGGACCACATGCAGACGCAACCACGCGATAAGTGAGTGCGCCCCTATTCCTAGATTTTAAGTAAAAGGCGCACCCAGCGCGCGCACAGCATACACGCCCCAAGCCCGAAACCCTAAACCCTAAACCCTACCCCTTAAACCCTATAAACCCTAAAAGCCCTAAGCCCCGAAGCCAAGGACCTTCCTCACCAACCACTCCGTGGAAGGCGAGATGGAGCCTGAAGCTGCCGACAACGAACCTGGGCTCTTCTTACGGCTTTGGGTTTAGGGGTTTAGGGGTTTAGGGGTTTAGGGGTTTTGGGGTTTAGGGGGTTTAGGGTTTAGAGTTTAGTTTAGGAGTTTTGGGTTTAGGGGTTTAGGGCGTAGAGTCTAAAGTTTCGAGGTTGCGGGGTAGGTGTAGGGTGTAGGGCTCAGAGTCTAAAGAATACGGTTCAGGGTTTAGCTTTCTTGTACCCTGGTTGCCATGCGCCTCCGAAGGCAGATGGGGGGTAATTAGTTTGAACAGAACGGGCGATCAGATCGGCGTAGTTTCCTGAGCGGTTTAGGGTTCAGGGTTTAGGGGCTATATTTGGGATTTTCGTTGAGGTATTCCACCCAACAGACATCGCCGATTATCTGAAGTGTAGTGGTTTTGTCGAGGGTTTGTTGAAATACGAGCAATACCCATTCGGTGACCTGCTCTAACCAACATCTTTGTGGCTGTCGTCTTTTGTTGGCACTGGCAGACTTAATCCGACCCTTGTATCCTGGGGAACAGACTACATGATGTAAAGGATTATCTGGAGGAGTCCAAAAGCTGTCACAGTGGGCTTAGGTTTTGCGGTTTCAGGCTCAGGGCTTAGAGTTTAGGTTTTAGGCTTTCTTAGTTTTCCTCAAAAGCATATTATTGGTTGTTGCACACCCCCTAACTGTGAAACCTGCAATGCAGGAATTCCACAAAAGCCTTCGTGCGGAGTTCGTGGTCTTGAGCCTGGTGGTGAACGTGGTGGCCTGGACCGGAGTATGGATTAGAGTAGTTCTTGTTTCCGGAGGACCCATCTTATACGCACGATCCTGATGCAATCTCAGAAACGCAAGTTTCTACATTGGGAGGGCAAGAAAAACCGTAACTAAACCCTAAACCCCTAAACCCCCGAACATTAAACCCAAACCCTAAACCCTAAACCTCCAGCCCTCCACCCGCGCTCGGTGCCAAAACCTTTTATTTTGGCGCATACAGGAGCCCAGAACACCTTAAGGACCACGCTGCTTGTCCTGCCCTGCGCAGTATGTATGT